CCCCCCCCCCCCCCCCCGGCGTGTCTACCCCCCCTCCAGCGTGACCCCCAGCCTACGGTGGGTGCGAGGGGGGTGACCATACTGGCCAGCGCACAAAGCCGAGAGAAGCAGGACTGTCCGGCTTCACACTGCCCCCGTTGAGTCCCGAGGCCAGCGGCGCCGGCTGGGGGTTCTGTGGTCCCTGCTCTGACCCCTCTTCCCCCCCCCAGGGCTGATTGACGTGCACGTGCACATGCGGGAGCCGGGCGGCACCCACAAGGAGGACTTCGCCTCGGGCACAGCGGCCGCCCTGGCGGGGGGCGTCACCATGGTGTGCGCCATGCCCAACACCCGCCCTGCCGTTGTCGACGCCAGCTCCTTTGCCCTGGTGCAGAAGGTGAATGCCCCTGCCCCCCCCCCCCCCCCCTGAGGTGCCGCGCAGAGTCCCCCCGACGCCCCAGCCCACGCACCCTCCCCGCCCTGGCAGGTGCCACTCAGACACGGAGCTGGCAGCGCCAGGCGTTGTGCCAGGCCAGCCTCAGCCCCCTGGGGAATGTTGTATGTGCAGCGTGGGCCCTGCAGCTGCTGGGGGATCTGGGAGGTGCTGGGGGGCCCTGTGTGGGGGCTGCAGGCCGGGGGGACGATCCACACGCTGGCCCAGGCCCGGCTTGGCACCCCATCGTGGGCCTGTCTGAGCCTGTCTCCCTGCAGCTGGCGGAGGCAGGCGCGCGCTGTGACTTCGCCCTGTACCTGGGGGCTGCGTCGGACAACGCCGGATCCCTGGGCCCCGTGGCTGGCGCAGCCGCCGGGCTCAAGATGTACCTGAACGACACCTTCTCCGAGCTCAAGATGAACAACGTCTCGCTGTGGATGGAGGTGGGTCCTGCGGGAAGGGTTGGGGGGTCCAGCCCCATTCCTGGCGCCAGCAGCACAGCGCCCACCGGGGGCTGAGGGCCCAGCCTGCCCTCTGCATCTGCAGTGGGGACACCCTCCTCCCCCAGCCTGCATTGCAGCCGCTGTCCGTCTGTCCTGTCCCC